GAGGCTTCCTGAGGAGTCAAGAGCGAGGATACAAATGTTTCCTATACTAAAATGTTTAATCAACTAAACCTTATAAATCCCCCTCCTTTTCACATCGCAGCTTCTTCAAATCATATTTAAGTGTGCAATATGTTAGTATTAATCATTAAACTTGTAAAAGCAGACTTGTTTTAGACGGTGTATTTATCTATTTATTTTGTATATTATTTTATATAATTTTAATGTAGTGAAGCTATGAACTTTATCTTAAGCATGTTTCGTTATAATGAACTGTTGCTGTGTTGAACTTGAAAAAAACACTCGACTCGGGGAGTCGATTCCTGACCTGGAGTCGATTCCGACACTAGGGCTAGTGAGAGTCGAGGAATCGACTCTTTTGGAGTCGACTCCCCATCTCTACGAACCGCACACAGAACGCTTAGGCTAATAAGCGAAACGCACACAGAGCGCTGAGGTTAATAAGCGAACCGCACACAGAGCACTGAGGCTAATAAGTGACACACTGCAATGCTGAGGCTAATAAGCGAACCGCACACAGAGCGCTCCACACTGCAACGCTGAGGCTAATAAGCGAACCGCACACAGAGCGCTGAGGCTAATAAGCGAACTGCACAGGGCGCTGAGGCTAATAAGTGACACACTGCAATGCTGAGGCTAATAAGTGAACTGCACACAGAGCGCTGAGGCTAGTAAGCTAACCGCACACAAAACGCTGCAGCGCTAAGGCTAATAAACTAACCGCACACAAAGCGCTCCACACTGCAGCACTGAGGCTAATAAGCTAACTGCACACATAGCGCCCCACACTACAGTGCTATCACCTCACAGGCCAATGGCATCCCAGCACAAGCAGGAAACACAGGGGACAGCGGTGCATGGATGATGGGTAAACAGAGAGCTGAATGACTGACACACAAATGAATGGCGGGATGATAGATGGTAGATAAACAGACAGATGAATTGATCTGTTGATTAGCAGGTCAGTAAACATAAAGGAAAACAGGCAGGCAGACAGAGCTTCAAATGTGACACTCAGTCTGAAGATGGGGTGGATCCCTCAGCCTGTAGCGATAACATCAGCTAGTGTGGTCTCCTCAGCACCACGTAAATACCAGCCAGAGGGTTCCTGAGGTCCATAAGTGACTTCACATGCTAGAGAGATGGAGCTTCCTGACGAATAACCTCAGAGCATGTGGTCCCTGTGATACGCAGCCGACCAACCCTGGGATTCAAACCCACCCTGCTAATCTGATCTACAGTCAGGCCGCTGGCAGCAGGACAGGAGGAGCGAGAGCTGATCCAGCTGTTACTCAGACCAGGCACAACAATTACACTCCGTCTCACGAGAAGCTAATGGCGTTTAAATGCGACTGCGAGATGAGTTTCTGGCTAAGGGCATGTTTCACTGATTTGCGGGACAAATGTTTGCGTCAATGTAAAAAACATGTAAAAAAGTTATGGAACTGATGCAGATAACATTTAAATGAGTTTACACACACACACACACACACACACACACTGGTACCTGAGTTGGACCCGGAATGCAGGAAAGGACCCGCTCGATGTTCTCTGATGTCACATCCACGTCGTCAATAGCAACCAGAACATCCCCTGTGGGTAAGAAGGGGCCGCGTAAGTCCTAGCGAGGCAGACATCTCACGGCCTATTGTGTTTCTGAGCTCTCATCCAAGCCAGTGCTCCAGTCCAATAGGGGGCTGTATCCAGCTGTAACACAGCTTGACTGAAATGGCATTCCACCAGTTCTCCACTAGGCGGTGAAATGAGCAATAAAACCTGTTTTAATGTAGTAATTATTATCTCAGACTTATATTATGTGAAGTATATTGACTACTGAGCAGGTGATAAATAACGGGTGTTTTTCTGACCCAGCAATAAGCAGACTATAAAAGGAGGTTCTATGCTAAAAGACACAGCTCAGCACACATTATCTGTGAGCGGGACAGAGGCAGCCTGTACCCTGTAACTGTGACTGGAACGCACACCTCCGCCGATCGCAAGGATCTTGCGTCTGCCGTTTCAGACACTTAACCGGGGTAATTGTTTTAGCATGGAGCCGTGTTACTTGAAAGCCATAGCTAAGCACTAACTTATGTGGATGCTTTTGGGGCCCGTGCCTGCTGGGCACCTTGAAGTGTGAATGTTGGGCAGAGACTCCGACTGCAACCGGAGGTTCTAGACATGTTCTGGACAACATTACTAATGTGGAGAAAATCTAAATCACAAATCTTAGCCACCAGGATGGATAATAAATTAAGAATTAAAAAAAAACTCTGATTTTAGCAAATTAAGGTCAATGAGGAACACATATAATGGCACTAATGGCAAGAGGCTAGTTATCGTGCATTCCATTTGCCCTCGGAACCTCGGATTTCTCGGAGATCCGAGAAATATCTCGGACAGCACAGAGGATCCCGAGTTCAGAATCCAAGATGGCTGTGCCCTTTATCAACAGAAGGGAAAGTTGTAGTTTTATCCTGTTTAAGCACTACTTCTCATTTGTGGCTCATTAAATCGGTCGCACACACTATACCGTCCAACTTATCTGTGGACATGTTGCTACGGAGTTTTATATGTGAAGCACCGCACGTAATGTGTTATCAAGTGATATTGCTAACAATGGCTACCAATTAACCATCTAGAATTGGATTTCATGATTAGTCGGATTATTTGTAGGATTTACAGTAGTTCGGGCTAATTGTAAGTGAACGAAGATAAAGGCCATTTAAACTGAGCTACCTTAAATCCGACAAGTTGTCCGGCTATGCAAAAAATCTTGCTTTTTCATCCATGGTATTGCTACTTCTGTGGCAAATGGAATGCATCCGACTCAGTTTTCCCGAGGCAAATGGAATGCATGATTAGTAGGTAACCAGTGTCTGCTGCTATCAGCGGCTGATTGGCTGCTGAAGAAATGGGAGCTGGCACTCACCAATCAGAACCTGCCCGCCCCTAATGGCAGGGCTGTTGGGTAGGAGGCCGTGGACGGTGAGCCGCTCCTCCCTACGGCCCTGCGCCTCACCCCGCCCCCAGGAGGGCCGGTGCACCACCCCCAGTAGTGCCTGCAGCAGCCCGCCCCTCTCCGGAGAGGGTGAGCGCCACCCCAGCCGCTTGGGATTCAGATAGACGAAGACCTCCTTCAGCTGCTGCTGCTGCACCACGAGCCCGGCCCGCTGGCCCGCCTGGTTCTTCAGAATGGAGGCGGGCCGCAGGGCCTGGGGCGTGTCCATGCGGCGCTGGGAGGGCCGCTTCTTCCTCAGGATCTTCACCAGCTTCTTCAGTCTGGGCTCCCTTTTATACCGCTCCTTGTTCTTGCTCCCGTCTGTGATGATTTCTGCCTCCTTGTCACTGAAGCGCACGTGATTGGTGCTCAGCCCCTGAGTGACGCTGGAGTGGACCATTGCGGCCTCTTCCTCTCCCTCACTCAGCTCAAGGTAGAACAGCTCCCCGTTCTTCTGGACATCATCCAACCACTCAGGCTCGAGGTCACTACCGCCACACAACATTTCAAATGAATCACTTTTGTTATGCCCTGTTGGGCTTTAAACACCAACCAAAGCTCCTTAAACCATTCCATTTGAATTGAAACATTAGCTAGTACCCTACTCCATCTTTGAATGATTTACTCATTGACAAGTGGACACCTCCTATGCACATGTCCTAAAGCCTGGATGAAAAGCAATCCAAACAAACAGACAGCATTCAAACTGAAGTACTATATTTAATTCAGAGGAACGGATCTGATTTCTTGTAATCTTCCTAAATAACCAAGAGAAAAAATAGTTTTATGGAAGCATTATATTTAAAGAGCTACTCAGAGGTGTAAATCTTTAGGAATTTAACTGCCTTGCAATTTGCTGGGCCCATAAAACAGTTGGATCTCATAAATCAGTTTCATTAAATTCCTCCATGGGGGATTGTTTTGTTGTCTGCCTCTACAATGAAGGACTTGACGAGATCAAAACAGACCAAAAGAGAGCAAGGAAGACTTAAAGGACTGAGAGGGAACTTTACGAGAAAGAGGAGAGTGCAGAGAAAACCCACACCGCTCCTGAAATAAAATGTTCTAACTTAGCAAAAAATAAAACCAAAAATATGGCCAAGCTTTTTTTTTTGTCTCCCTAAATTAGGCCGAACCACTTCTGTGGTCGACTCTTGGAAACCGCATCCATAAATTCTCTGAAGATGGCGAACGGCGTATAATTATTTACGAAGGTTAACTTTCCAAATTGGAAACAGAAATTTCCTCAAACCTTAAAAAAAAAAAATATGAGGGAGCTGAAGGCAAAGTACAGTTTCAACGGCCAATTCTCTTTCTCCTCATGTCAGAATCACAGATTGTAGAGCGGACGAGTCTTCTGAAGGCAGAGAGACCCAGAAGCGAAGGCGACAACGATCTCCTGCCCACTCAAGATGCGACTCATTTGAAAGACGAGATGCTTGGATCAAAGAGCCAGCCTCACAGCTCGAAAATGAAGAACAGCCACTCGCCTAAGCGGAAAACACAACATTAAAAGACAATAATAACCCTAAATGGTATTTGTTTTGGTTGGCCGAAACACACATATTGTGACAAAGTGATCTTTTGTTTTTGTTTAATTTGGTATATGCATAGCAGAGTAGCAAAAGCCCAGGACTGCTCTCGGAACGCATTTACACACGCTTACATCACTGGCAGTTTAACCCCTTCAGGACCACCATGGCCCGAAGGGACATTAGCTCAGCTCACAGTGTAAAGGGTCTGTTTCACTCACTTTACCACTTGTAGTCAATGTAAAAGAACTAATTAGCATTTTAAGTTTTTAACAATATACTGTAGTGACCCTCGATAAGAGGCACTGCCCTACCAATGACAGGGTATGGTTCACTCGAGTCTCACCATGAGGTGCCCCTAGTGGAAACGACAAATTCGGTGTAAGTGGTGAGATGAACTTTACTTGAGGGGGCTTAAATAATGCAGGTTTATGCGATTACTTATGTATTAATTTACCACAGACTAAGTCTTAGTTACATACTGATCTCAGGTTAATTCATCATTAATGAATCATGATGCATGTTTTTTCTCAAGCAGTTAGTATATTTGTTACTATATCTGTTGATTCCGTAAACCTTTGTGAACTAATCATGGAACTATTGAAGGAACGAGTCATGAAAAACACAAGTGAAATACTGATTTCATGTTTTTTCATCATTAATGAATCATGATGCATCTTTTATCTCAAATACCTAATACTTTTGTTCATGACTATTGTTCATGACTATTAGTTATCACTAAGTATGTGTGCCCCGTCAAGTGAAGTGTTACCTGAGAAACTAGGTGTTCTGACCGCAGAGGTGGAAAAAAGTCTGACTCGAGGTTCCATATTTCCAGCCCATGGTTTGATAGCTGACCGATCAAACACAGGGATATGCAGTGGGTGAGCAGCACAGTGATCCAACAACCCTTGACAGCTACTGATGGGGTTAGGGTCACTTCCTTCCATTTAGGAAACTGGGGTCTTAACACGAGTTCCCCCACCACCTGCGTCATTTGGTACCATGCAAAACACTGATCATATTTCATATAATCTATTTCTTTGCATCCATTACAGATAAAAGAAATCCTGTGGGTTCTATCATCACATTCAAATATTACACATCTCAAAAAATGAATTAAAGCAACTGCGGTCCAGACCACAAGAAAGGCTGGAGCCCAAATACAACAGGCAAATGTGAAATAGAGCTGAAAAACATCTCAAAGAAATTGTCTAATAAAAAGACGATTGTGAAAGTACTGGTTATTCATCAAAGCCTAGGCACTGAAAACACGTTCAATACGCATTTTACCAATCCCGATTAAAACTATATTTTCCAGTGAGAGCGACCCTACACCTTCGCGCTTCCTTATGGACAACTCACTGCACACTTCCAAAGTCCTTCCGCTGAATTTCTGCAACCACTGATTAACATACGGTGCCCGCGAAAGGATCAAACAGCCGACGCTTCACTTCTTAATGCATGCATTTTTTAATGATGCACTTTTCTTCCCGACTGCCTGCTGTGCCTTACTCGGAGCAGTCGGAGTTACTGTAACTGGACGCCGTGGACTCCGTGTCACTCTCCGTCTCCCGAAGCGCATCCCCGGCTTCCACATGATCGCGGGTAGAGGGAGACTCCGGGTCTCCGTTAAACTCCATGGAATCCATACTTCCTCCTACATCCGTAACACTAAAAACATATTTTTATTTTTCTACCCTTCTCTTTAAGACTGCACGTTAGCCCGTTTCGCCATATTGACCACATACGGGTTCTCCTCTTTTCCACGTGACTCAAATAGTCCCGGCTGATTGGACGCTCTGGACGTTGTCCTGACAACGGGGAAGCTTTCAGTTTGCGGGATGGTGCGTGAACATCAGACTCAACAGACGCACTTGTTAAAGCGCTTACACGATGATGTGTGACTACTAAACTAAATCTTTTCAAAGTACCGACGTACCTTGTTTGCCTGTGAAACAGAAGCCCATGAAAGCTTACGATGGTGACAATTATTATAAATTACTTATTACATGGATCACTTATATTTAGGGTTAGTGCCAAGTCACTCGTGGGTATTTAATATGTTTTTTCATAAGATGCCCCTAGGATCGACTGGCATCCCCGCCAAGATGAACTCAGCTTCGACTCTTGCGCTTCGTGCCACAGTGTCTATAATGGTTATCGAAAAAGAGCAGAAAGACATATTTTCATCGAATAAATCTAAATAGCGCTTAAATATGCTTGCATGCGTCATCAGTGTGATTTTACTAAGTTGATTGTCGTAAGTAATACTAAAATCAGTTTTACTATTCATGACGTTAAATCTGCAGATAGGTCTCTGAGTAGCGTCTCTCCCAGCAGCAATAATGCATTAGCACTAGGCTGTGTGATGGACTTATCTCCGTTTAAGAAATAAATACCCCCACCCCGGGCACACACCTCCCAAAAACACACATACAAACTAAATCTACAAATCCCCCGAGGTATTTGGGCTGTGATTAAAATTATACAGCTAGGACGGTATAATAAACTAGACTAATAGACTGTAAGACTTACAAACAGTTACTGGTTCGTGAAGAAAGCAGCACATGGTCGGGAAAGAATCACCATCTACTGACCTGTAGAGAAGAACGCTGCGAATTGAATCAAAGTCCTCTAAGTTGTTGGAGAAGGATGCAGAAGGTCCTCCATGAGTGCCAGCGTTAAACATTCTTCATGCACGTACCATGTTTTCATCTCTAGCACAGTTCATTCAGAGTGAAATCAATGCATGTCCTCGCCAAACCTCCGCAGGACTGCACGCCGTCTCATACCCATCCAGTGTGGTTCTGCGCAAACTGCTCGACATTCCTCCTCCTTGCCGTCATGCGGGTACATTATTTAACATCACTTTAAATGTTTAAACGCGTACATTTAGCCGATGCCCATCTTTTGCATGGCATCTTGCAGACTTTGCCTCCGCTTTTTTCGGTACTGATGACTGTGCTGTTTCTTTGAAGTCTAAGCCCCAGATCCTCATCCTCACGTCAGTCATAAACACAAAGCACCTCCTGCCCCGCAGCTGCTTTGAAGGGGAGGGGACGCGGTCCTGCTTCTTTTCTCCGGACCCAGAGTGCAGTGCTTTCGCTCGTAAGCCGATTGCAAAGAAGAAGAAGGGATTTGGTATGGCAGGTGGGGGGTGAGGCGCCTCTTCCAAACTTCCAAAGCACTGAATGGGGGAGGTCTGTATGCCCGGAGCTCTGGCTGTTGTGGGCAGACTTCACGAACGGCTGGGATGCCTCTGTGCACTTCAATGCGCCTTTTAAAGCAAGACCAGTGTTGTGGTTTATAGTGGAAACGTGGCCAAGTTTGCATTAAAAACCATTAAGTCAAGCCTGTTTTCTCGTTTTCGCAGGGGTTTGGATAGCAATTATAAGAAAGTAACTTAACCAGCTGGAATCGCTTTCTTGTTTTTAGTTATATGTGTTCATTGATTGACGATAGTTATTTACATTAAATTACATTTTACATAAATTTACATCAATCCATGTTCCTTCACGCTTATACGGTACATTTCGCGACGGGAAGCGATAACATTACTGTAGTCGAAATATAACAAATTCCACAGATATATTAACGGTAAAGTACCGTTAATATACCAGTACTAACCTTGTGTTTCGCATTTCCAGTACAATAAAATACGCTTTTAAAACATTGTCATATTATGCTCTCTTGTTTTTATTGGTGCACTAAATATTTAAAATACATCAATATACAAGAAAAGAACAATAAAATATACATAAAAATATAGGCAGTTCGTACGGTTCGGACATCTAACAACGGAGTCTGGATATAGTCAATAGTTGCATAAATCTCAATACTGTTACATTTGGGCTCATTGCAAATTATTTAGAACTTGGTTAACCCTACTCATGGGATTTTACTGTTTTTTGTTTTGTTCTCATGATTATTGCTAATTTGTCTCGGACTTCTAAATGTGATGCTAATGGACACTGCAGTTAACGGTCTGTTGTAGGCTATTCCTATAGATAAAGATACCCTGAGCCGGTTTTGACCTACAAGCGACATCTTGTGGCAGTTTAATAGAATTGCTATCCGCCACACTACAGACAAGTACAATACGCTTTTCGACAAGCTACATACAGTATTGTTGTGGTTTAAGACGCAATAACACAAAAATGTGCCATAATCAATTGGCCCTCTAATCATAAGCACTTCGACACCCTTACAAAAGGATTATGAACATTTTCAACATTTTATTTTGTCATTGGTAGTTTGGTGAAGACTTAAGTACACGACAGATACAGCAGTAGAGGGCTAATTAATGTGCACACATTTTTCCACGCACAAGTCATGGACACGCTGCATAGCTTAGGCGAGAGACTGGAGACTCTCTTACAAAATAGTACAGAACACGCCAATTACACGGGATACCACAGTGTCAAAAAGGCTGTCTGCGATACGGCATGAGGTTGATATAACCCATAAAATGATGATTGTGGTATGCAAAGTCCAAGTGGCTAAAATTCTCTGGTGAGCTTTCCTGAGATGATCCTGTGCTTCCAGTATTGCATGGCTGTCGGATGGATGCAGTTCCCCTCTGGTCAGGAGGGCCCTTTAAGGGCAAAACACAGACAGGCCCAGAGGTTACACAGCACTTTACAGTCACATTCTCTTTCCATTGTTCCATCTTCTTAAGAAATTTAATAAAATAGTGTGCATAATAGATATCACCAAAGATGTTCTATCTTTTGAAATGGCTGTTTGCAGCTTAATCAAACCCCCTTTTTATCCAGGGCTTTCCATCACTAAAGTCCCGCTGCATCCTTCTACCTTGAATCGCTTTAATAAAACATCCTTAACGTGGGGCTGCCTTCGTGTGTAAACGGATACAGATTATTGCTGATATTGTGGCATACGTTGGTCTTCACAATCCGAGACTCTGGAGGTTGAGGTGAAGGCTCACAACAAAATACAGGCTGGTCTTTCGGTTGCGCGCGAGGTTTCACATTTCAGGGCTAATTTCAGCGTAGCGCGACTGAAAGTCACATTATGACGTCGGTGTCTGACAGTAATAGCTACGTGTCTGAGCCAACATGTGGAGCCTCCGGCGGAAAAACACAAAAACCTCGAGTCTGAAGTACGAGCTCACAAAATCACAGCGACCTTGAACAGACCCACAAAAATGGTCTAGCTGCATATATATATATATATATATCATAAAAATAAGCAGAATAACTGAAAGCTTGGCTTATTCAACATGTATAAAAATACACAGACGGTCGAGTTCTCGTTCAATCAATGATGGCCAGCATCTCCTTTGTCCTTCGCAGAGAAGACAAGGGGGACACTGGCACAGAAGGTAATGGGGATCAGGACCGGGTGGCCAAATTCGCCCTCCTGGAAACTGGCTACCAGACACTCTCTCACCCATCTCTGCTGGGACAGTCGGTACCACACCAGCGTCTATGTGCATGTTTACCATAAAGTATCATGTATTGCATAGCATTGATCACTACATAAAAACCACCCCCCCCAAAAAAAAAAGGCTTGCAGAAAAATACAGGAGATCAGGTCAAGCTGCTCACTTCCACGTCGCCCCACATGGCCACTTCTTCGTCCTGTGGCTCAGAGACACGTCTCCCACACAGGGAAGCCCATCAGGCGGATCTGCTCCTCAGTGATGTGAGTTCAGCACCGGTCAGATCACCATGAGCCGGTCCATCCCGAGAAGCTCGTCCTCCCCCAGGGGGGGCACCAGGTGGAAAAACTCGAGCAGGTTGAGCAGGGGGCCGCGGTCGAACGGGGTGAAGATGCGGCCGTCCTCTTCCCGCAGGTAGCTGTACCTCTGGTGGTTGAGCCTCTCATTGGTGGTGGTGTTCTGCACCGCCATGGACAGCTGGAGATGTAAGGAAAAAAAGAGTCCTGTCTTTGACCAGAAGGTGGCGCTGCTGCGCATCATTAATTCTGCCCTTCAGGATCACAGCAGAGGTACAGCAGTCAATTTGACTGCTCAGTAAAAATGGGAATTCTACTCTATAGAGCACACAAATAAAATGTTAATATCTTAGTACTCCTCCTTGTTAATAGAGCTATGAGCCTCTGACAGTCTAAGCACCAATCAGCTGCCAGTGCAGTAGGTAATGTTACATCCTTCACTTTTCCAGTCTTCCCATGTCTATGTTTATACTGGAAACGTGTCACAGTGCCACACACGTGCGAGGCAGGCAGCACACCATGCTGCGCCAGCCCCCGCCTTCAAACGCCACGATCGAAGGATTCCACTCAAAAGTAATCCAGATAACGTCACGCAGTGCAGTGATAATAAAAGAGCTGGAATATTAATAGAAAATTAATAATCAGGAGAAAATCAAACTGCATCCCAGGGGGCGACGTCCTCGGGAAACAGTTATGGGATCTTGACTGGAAAAGCTTCTGAACTAGATATGAAAAGGCTTTACACACTTTGAAATGCCTCAGCAAACCATTACCTATAAAATCATAGGAAAATGGTGCAGTGCAATTTCCAGACCACAGTACCAACAACCGGCAGATCTGTAAAATGTAAAAGCTCTATTCCTGGCCTGGCAATTAACTGGCCATTTACAGTTTGGTGACACATGCAGCGTTTCTTTTAGCACCAAGACTAGACCAAGATGCAGCAGTCAGTAATTTGGTTTAACGAGCTTTTCCTTTTCATTTATTTATTTTTTTGTTAAAGCCAATTCAATCGCCATAATTCAGCCACAAGAGGGCAGCAGTCCCACAATTAGCCCAATATTAATTCATTCCTGTCCTGTTTACTCAGTGAAATGACTGAAAGGGAATGATTTACTGGAGAGAATTACGTTAAGAGTAGCTTTTGGAAAAAAAAAATCCCTCTACATCTGGGACAATGTTTGTAATGTCACCATCATTCAATACTCAATACAAAAATGACTACAAATGAATTTGCTAAAACAATTAAAAATTACATTAATAAACCCAAAAACGTGACAAAGGGAGGCGGGCACATGCTAAATCAACTGCATCACTGGGTGCATCAGCAATAAGCAAATCGTGCTGACAATTAGCCAAAGGGATTGTGGGTAGAAAAGAAAGTGGGTCAGCGCTTACACAGATGCCCGCCATGATGCCCGATATCACCCCGATCACAGCCATGAAGATGAAGCCGATGCCGATGAAGAGGTTGCGGCCCATGGTGTAGAACCAGTCCACACAGAGGTACAGGCCCAGGAAGCAGTTCACACTCATGGCGCTCAGGAACCCGAAGAAGTAAGCCCTGCAGAGCAGGAGGTCAGTGTGAGAGCAGGCAGAGGTCGCGGTGGGCTGGGGGGAGGGGGGCTTCCATCATGCAGCTTTCCTGCTCTACTTAACTGCAATAACAGGACAGTTACTCCCTTAACAGATACTATTATCCAAAGTCACCCATGTAATTAGCAGTTTCCAAAAAAAAAAAAAAATCAATTTACACAGCGGGTAGCTGAGATATTCCCGTCAGGGTCACACAAGCACATGTGTCCATTGTCTGACACAGTACCAGGTCCACATTCTTTGTTCACAATGCATGCTGATTAACAATCACACCCCCTGCTGGCCCGACTGAGTTTTGTTCTGAATAAATGATAGTCGGATGAAGCGTAGAACCCCAATGAGTCTTGACAGAGGTACCTGTTCCTGCGCCCCACGGTGTTGTAGACGTAAGGACAGTAGTGGTCAAAGTGCTCCACGCAGCGGTTAGTGACGCGGCAGTGCTTGGTGCGTAGTGGCCGCACCAGGTGACAGCTGTGACACAGACGGAGCAAGAGATTCCTGTCCCGCTGCCAGTCCTGGGAGAGCACCGCCTGTAGTGAGACAAGGGAGACAGGAGGGTGCCTGTGACATATCTGTGTGTGTAACAGGTATATCTGTGTGTGTGTAATGGGTATATCTGTGTGTGTAACGGGTATAGCTGTGTGTGTGACAGGTATATCTGTGTGTGTGTAATGGGTATATATCTGTGTGTGTAACGGGTATAGCTGTGTGTATGACAGGTATATCTGTGTGTGTGACAGGCGTATCTGTGTGTAATGGGTATATCTGTATGTGTAATGGGTATATCTGTGTGTGTAACAGGTTTATCTGTGTATATCTGTATGTGTAACGCACATATCTATATTTCTGTGTTACGGTATATCTGTGTGTGTGACGAGTATGTTTGTGTGTATGTATGTGTGTTTGTGTCAACCATCTCAGCTGACTGTCTACCTGTCTAATGACCTTCCCGTATTCCTCACTGTTTCTGGGAAGAAACCCCGGATCCATCAGGGAAGCTTTTAGGAAGAGGAACCACATGAGTATGTTGGCGAGCAGGAAGATGACGTGGAACTCCCACAACTTGTTATAGGACACAGAGGCAATCTGCGCAGTGGAGACAGAGGAAACGTCACGGGTTACCTGAAGGGGGCGCCAGTCATCTTAATGCTCCCGGCACTGCACACACACGCAGACACACGCGCCGGTCAAAATGCTCTTCTACAGCCGTTTAGACTAATGCATGCCATATCCATCCCAGTCTTACTCAGGCATGGCCATACTAGAGATATTTAAGGGCTACTTAGGACCCTCAGGAAATAACAGGCACCTCCTGTGATGTAATGGTGAGGGTGGTCAGGAGTGGGGGGCACCTTACCTTGAAGAAGTAGGTGGGGTATCCCCATAGGAGCAGGCAAGCATACAGGAAGAGGACGGGCCCTTTGGATTTGCCAGGCGGGCCGAACACAAAGGTGCTGTGAAGCCGAAAGCACGCCGTTTAAAAAGATAAAAGCGAGACTTTAACTCACCATGCATGAACAAAAAAAGGACATTGACGAAGGATTCGAAAAATGCTTGTCTGTCTTCCTTTGTCAGGAAGACTGGCCACGGAATAGAGGTTCACAGCTTGATCACACGGTCTCCGTATTTTATGGACGAGCTACGGTGACCCCAAAAACTGAACGACTGAACACACCACTGAACAGATTTATCCCATTTGCTCATATTGCATTCAGTTAATCACCTTCTACTTAATTAATGAACTTTAGCAGCATTAATTACGGCATTAATTTAAATGAGTCAACAACAGCAATCTGCTGTATGTTCAGACTAAATGTGATGAACACCCTCACAGAAACGTGGCAGTTAGCATGCGAGTCTGTGCTTAAAGAGCTTGGAGACCACACAGAGGGGACCACAGTGAGATCTCCTGGACCGGGGGCTGAGCCCTACGCAGAAGCAGCAAACAGACCTGGATCGTATCCAATCAATTGTCTCTCCCATCGCAAACCAGGAAAGGACTGACCATTCCGGTAATTTGTATTCAAAGAAATCAATTGTCCATCTCTCTGCTGAAACGTACTGCGAAGGGGAGTCATGCCTGCACTTAGGACACATCAGCACGTGGAGCCGAAAGACTCGGGTGTCGGACTGGGGTGTCCCGCACCCTGCTCGGCTCCATTAGCATCCCAGCATTCCCCTGGGCAGCAAGTACGACGGCTACAGGGTGTAACCTTAGAAGAAGGGCAACTGAACCGTAATCACAGGAGCACACGGACAGATGGACGACGGCTTAAAAACAGTCAGGTACGGGAAATTGGGAGCTCAGTCCCACCTCCAGTCAAAGCAGGGGAAGCGCCGACTCGCCTGCAACAGCGCCCCCTCCAGGTAGGTGGATATATCGCGATGCTCGCGTCCCCGCGACAGTTGCAGGGGTGTGCTCCCGTTCCCGTCCTCCACCTCCAAAGAGACACCCTCCTGTAAGGGGAAGGAGGCAAAAGGATGCCCTGTCAAGGATGTCCTCCTTAGTGACATGAAGATTCCTGACGATCCCTCCAAGATTATCTGAATGGGGCCCTATCACGTTCTTTTTCACTGTTAAAAATTTTATTTTTAGGGTCTACTAGAACACATTTATATGTTTCAATGTTCCAAAAACACATTATTTTTCTCATACTGTACATCTCTATTCACGCTCTGTTAGAGCTTTAAGCCCCACCCCCATCAGTGTGCCTGATTGGTTAGCTTGCCCTACATGTGCGACAAGGTGACCTCACCATGTCACGGAAGTAAGGGCTGGAATTCCAATGAGGCTTTTCAGGCCAATTAGAAAAGAGAGGTTTCTGTGGTGATAGTTACTCCCTTTGGCGTGTACTTTGGGCCTTGGACTTTGCAGACCTTTCAAACACACATAAAGCTATATGACACACTAAAGGGAAGGCTGTGACTCCTGACACTGGAAGGGCGTCTCTCCCGCACGCCTTTCAAACACACATAAAGCTATATGACACACTAAAGGGAAGGCTGTGACTCCTGACACTGGAAGGGCGTCTCTCCCGCACGCCTTTCAAACACACATAAAGCTATATGACACACTAAAGGGAAGGCTGTGACTCCTGACACAGGAAGGGCGTCTCTCCCGCACGCCTTTCAAACACACATAAAGCTATAT